TCACGGCAGTTTTACGAGAATGAAGTTCAACACCCATGTCAACTCCATTTTTTATTTGAAGCTCAATCTCATCTTCAACATCAGAAAATGGCCTGCTTCTCTTTGCTAAACTGTATACTGTATTGAAAATATTACATGTAGAGTCAATATGTTTCTAGTTCAATTTATCCATGCATTTTGTAATTGCATCATCTGCACAATCTCGTAGATGCTTAACACAAATTTCGTGGGCTTTTGATGAATAATGCTCATTCATTTTTTTTCTGAGAGATGCTTGCTGGATTGTTTTTCCTTTCCTGAGGCTACAATACCGTAGCTTCCCCATTCCATCGATATGTGAATTCCCTTCATGTTTATGGAATCAAATTTGGCACAGTGATCACAACCAAGTTTCTTACTACGAACAATCAACCCATCATATTTTTTCTTGAATTTGTCATATTGCTCCACACTCCAACAGTCTGGAAGAGCTGATGCTGTATCTGCCTCATCTCTAGTTTGCACAGCCTCAGAAACAGAAGTTTCAATAGCATCATTCAGAAAAGTTGGCTGTGCTTCTTTCTCACCAGCGTCTTGCTTTGAACTTTCATTTCTTGAGATTTTTCGCACAAACTCCAAAATATTTTGTTGCCTCTTCATTTTAGGGCTAAATCCTAAAATTAAATAAGTAGTTTAGTAGGTAGTAAAATTCGTACAATATTGTCCTTTCAAAAATTCCTTTCATATTTTATATAAATTATAATTCTTATTTTTGATTTTTTATTACGATTTTAATGTTTTCAGAATCAAAATTGAGCATGTTGGATTTGCTGTGTATGGATAAGTTTATTTTAAAAGGACGAAAAAAATTGCTTGGGGTTAACTCACCTGTGAAAGCTAATTTACTGAAAGGTGAAATGATGCGAGTGAATTATTTGCGAAAAGTTGGCTTATTAAATGAATTAAGACAATATTAAGCAAAAAATCGTAGAAATGAAATGTATTAAAGTTTAAAAATTTGGCATTGATTGAAAGGTTTGATTGATTTATTTGACAGGCTTAATTAACTTTTATAAAGAATAAGTGACTGACACCATAAGATTCGCAATCAATTAATTAGAGGGTTCACACGAGAATTTTGTAAAAATATTAGATATTAAAAAAAAGGAGGGGGCCAGAAAGCCCCCCCCCCTATCACTGAGAAAATAAAAATAGGCCGTCACGGATAGTGTTAAA